AACAAACATGGGAGGAAGGCGGGGGGAGTCTCTGGAGGCTCAGATTTAGGCAGGTATCCGAGCGGTTGTTCAGAAAGAGGATGTGCCTGGCCAGACCCCAGCGTCAGGAAGATGGTCACAGCCACGACGGGGAAAATTTCCTTCTTGCTGCAGTTCTAGTCGTGGGATTGCCAAGAAAGAGCTGCCATCTCAGGCCACTGCAAACAGTCACCCAAAAGGCAGTCTTGAGTTTTCAACGCAAGTCTTTCAGCTTGCAGTACTGCCAACACGTTAATCTCTCAAAAGCCTTGAATGTTTTTTATCGCCGTTTTGAAAATGTTAACAAGCTATTTTAGGTCATCTCATTGTTGCCAGCTTTTGCTTTTATAAATTATTTCATGCAACAAACTTTCACGTGACAGACGACCACCTTGATAATAGCACAGTCTCTTGACAATAGCACTCTCAATCTCTAGAATTTTCAAGGTAAAAGATGTATTATACATATTTTCAAAGGAATGTTGACCTCAGTGCTCAAATGGTTCACATTCCAGTTTTTCTTAGTCCACATGTTGGGTTTCTCTTCAAAACCTTCTTTAAATAAGCAAGCAGATTTTACAGGAGCAAAAAAAATAAGATAACTGTAGGAATTCCTCTTGAACACTTTATCTAGATTGGCTTTCATGCTTTAATTGAATAAGCAGATCCCTGAATCTTATGGACCAAGGGAATGTTACGTGCATTCCTCTCTTATGAACCAAGCAGAGTGCAAGAAAGAGTCTCTTTAAGAGATGCACATCTTCCACTCATTTTTCCTTCAATATACTTGCTTCCGAAGTACAGTAAAAAATACCCCACTGCTGTTTGTCTCATCGTTTGTCAGTGTGTGCGAGTTACCTTTAGAGGGCACCATTTTGTTGGGCAACTGTTGGCACTGAAATTTTCCAGGAATCTCAGAACTTCCTTAGCAAATGTGAGGGATCAAAGCCTCTGCACCTATGATCAGAGGAAAACAAAAAAAATCATCCTAGGACAATAGAATTTGCATTTATTCACTCGACAGAACTGGTGTTGAATGAAACATACTTATGAACGAAATCTGTTACCATAAGTAAAAATAAAAAGACTCGGGAGATGCCCCTCCATGCTGCATTTGACCAAGAAGTTAAATTTATCTGCCTTGGAAGATGCCTTTTTCAATACCTAATGTTAAACAGGTTATTGTTAAGAATAATTAATACCAGTTATTCTTTAGTTTGATCAGAGGAAAAAGAAAAATCTTCTGAGTTGACACTAAAACAAATGCTTATCTTCTATTGGGAAACATTACTTACCACTCTGTGTAGTCTGTCATCATGAAAAAGTGACCGTATATTCTGTTGTGGTATTGTTCAAAATTATGCGTTTAGCTATAACTTACTCGAGCAGTGGGGACTTCCACCATTTTCTATGAGAGACAAGCCTGTTATACAATTGCTCCTCTGCAACTATCTTGGCATTCAGCAGCAGATAGTGCGCTTAGCCTGAGTGAGCCCACCAACTCTGGAAAACAGAAAAGAGAGCATATTTTGCATGGAGAAATTTAGTAGCATGAACCCCCCTGTAGACGGTGTTCACACCATAAATACTATTGATATTTGTGGAGCAGGTCCTACACAAATAATTTATTTCTGAGACATTATTATGAAAGTGTATAAACACTGTAGTAGGAATGACACGTAACAGCGCTGAAGGCAACAGACGGCCAAATTTGTTATTATGTCTACAGTCCAGCAATAACAAGACTGTTGAGTTGTACTGTCCCAGCTCCAGAATTACAGTGACTGTCAGGACCACTCTATAATAACCTCATAGTTCCTATAACTTCTTCATGCATTGCATTTTTTGTGGAGAATAATTACAAGTAGATACCACAGGTTTGATCTGATATTTATGCTTAAATGTTTCACTTGTTCATAAATCAAATCCCTTACCTTAACACACAAAAAAGTATCCAATTAAATGAATGATGGATGCTATCAGTTCAGTCTAGAATGTGGGGAGAATGGTTACAGAGCTTAATATTTACATACTGAATTATTTACATTTCAAAACAAAATTTTGTTTTGTTTTTTTTGTATTTCCGATAGCATATATATTAAGCATCGTGATCTTTATTTTTGAACTTTCTTCAGCTGGAATGTTCTGTGTTTACCAAGCTGTGCTGCAAAAGCTGGGAACTTCAGTTGAGGACCAAAGCACTTTGTCAGCTTGAGGGCCCTTTCAGAGTAATTCTTTAAGCTCTGCAGTACAATGGATAAACCAAAATGACAGACGTGAGGCCACGGGTGCATTCACTGTGCCTTTCCTGGAGCAACTGAGCGGTTCTACTCTTATGTAAGACTGCAGCATGCTGCCAGTCCCTTGCATCGGCAGCGTCTGAAGCGAGCACTTCATGTGACCCTTAGCAATCCCAAATAGACCAATATTAATGTGAGACATTAAATGTACACGTTACGTAACCATTTCTCCTGACAGCCACCCAGGCCAAGTATTTCCTACTGACTGCTGCAGTAACAGACATTTAATTTTAACTTGCCACTAAAATAAAACATTCTGTGGGTAGAAGGAAGCATATGGGTGGGAATAGAGAACGGAGGTTATTCATGTCCCAACATGAATGTGCCAGAAAGATCAGCAATATTTTTTAGAGTTTGATTTACATGGCCAACTGAGTCTGACGGCGTCTATTAAAAAGTGCCCCGAGACCCATTTCATGCCTGCTTTTACTAATACAGCCAAAAGGAAAATTGCAAACGTCATGCAATGGTTTTTAATTATGCCTTTGCCGCCCAGTAAAACACTTGATTTAAAGTGTCCTAAAAACAGTAGGGTAGTTTTAACTTACTTAGAAATGCACTGACCTGGCATTCTGACTTGGTCTGAAGCACAGAGCCAGAAAAGTAAAAAATGCAGTTTCAGCATTTAAAAACATGGGAGAAGCAGACGACTGTCAATGTTGCCACGTAAGGCATTATAGCTGACACCCCTTACGTGCCGCACGGAAATGTAATGCTGTGCGGGACTGTAGCGCGTTTCAATGCACTGAATTTGCCCGATAACAGATCTGAAAGTCCTCAGGTTTTCTTCTGGCCTAATTGACCTAAACAGAGACAGATTTTCACGTGAAATTACACCCTGGGATTGTAATTTGTGCCGTAAAGAGGTGGTACTTGGATGTGGCTAAGTCTACAGTGGAATGCATGGTCCTTGTTTGATGCAAATATAGTATTTTATTTTGAAGCATTCTGGATGCTGCCGTCTATCTTTTTTTCCCCTGGAACATATAAACTGACCGAGACAAACCCAGAAATTAGGAGCGTTGCTTCTGGTTTGGGAACGGGAGGTAGGGGTTCCCACAGCACAGTCCCCAGACCCCCAAAACACAGCCTGCGGCTGTTGTCTGGTGTCGAATGAGCAGGCAGACATCTTTTGCAAAGCGCTGTGCACCCTTGGTTTGCGCTTCATGGCACAGCCCTCTCGCCTGGGAAGAGCATGCTGTGTGAGAACCGTTGCCAGCAAAGATGTGACTGTGACAATTTAAAAACTTGCTGAAATGGTACTCTGACTACGCCGTACATTGTATCGCCACAAATGGGAGGACACGCAGTTTTTAACCACGTTCATACAAGGTGAGGTGGTTCAGGGCAGAGGTCAGGTGAAGGACCTACCAAGGGTTTGTATGAAAAAAATGGATTTTTTTTACCTCAGTAGTTTGCAGCTGCCCGTATCTTCACTTCTGAGGTGTGTCCTTTCTTAGCGGACTGCTCGGCCTAGCCACCTGAGTTAAAAATTGCTCACAAATCACAGAATCACACAGAATCATAGGGGTTGGAAAGGACCTCTGTGGATCATCTGGTCCAACCCCCCTGCCCAAGCAGGGTCCCCTACAGCAGGCTGCACAGGGCC